TATTAATTTTAATAATAACATATTGATATTTTATCAATAATAATAATAATTGTATTATTGTATATTATTATTAGTAGTATTTGGTACAAACAAGTCATTCAGAATAGCTTTTTTATGTTGTAATGAAGTAGCCACTACTGGGTGTCACTTCTGAGAACAAATAAATACTTATCCTGCTCACCAAAATTAGACAGTTTTGGAAATACTTTGCCTATTGGTGAGCCTTAATTTCAGTTGGTGTATTGAGACGTGCAGGATTTGTTGTTGAATGTCTTCATCATGCTCTGTCTCAAAGTTTCCGGTTGCAGCTGATGGTGTAATGGTGTGGAGGTATTTTCTTAGCGCACTTTGGGTCTTTTACTACTAACTATTCATCATTTAAATACCATTTAAGTGCCACCTGAATAGTGTTGCTTTTGTTACCACAATCTATCTATCTATCTTCTGATTCCTAATTTCAGAATAATGTACCATTTCACAAACCTTAAATCATCTATCAGGTATGGTGGTGGAGGAATGCTAATGTGGGCTTGTTTTTTTATACCTTTCAATTGTGAAGTTGACCAAGAACTCATCCTTTTTTTGAAGAAAACCCAAGCCAACGCCAAACAGCCAGAATCAATCAGATATACATTGTGGAAAATATACAGAATATGAGCTTTACATCCTATCAACCACTTCCTTCAGAAGTTTGTTTCAAACCTTAAAAAGAAGTATTTATCTTAAATATTGTTCTGATATTCATTTCATAATAAGGTAAAAATTTTTTAAATAAAATCAAGGATAGAACACTGGAAAAAAAACATATTTCTGTCAATTCTACCATTTCATTAACTTGATTGAAACTTGTTTTACCCTCTTTTAATTAAAAATCTGCTATTTTTCCGTTTTCATTTAAGGCTGCTAACCTGAAATGCAATTGTATTTTTATGCTGTTATGAATTTTGTTATAAAACAGTTTTTAATTTAAAAAACAATTTAATTGTACTTGAACAATAGAATTTCGAATTACCCAGTCAAAAACACGGGTGTGTTCCCCGTCAATATGAAATAACCAATAGTAAATCAATCCTTATACCTATGAGGCGGGTGTTGTCGCAGAATATCCAATCAAATTGCTACAAATTATGACCTACATCGCTTCCATCAAATCAGCAAATTATTTTGAGATAATGAGGGCGGAGCCTCGTTCAAATCTAGCCAATCATTGGCCACGGCTGATGACAAATAAGGAAACCTATTTGGCAAATTGTAAACGACAGAAAAAATAAAACTGTGCTGTAAAAAATCCGCTTTCACTGGGATTTCCAGATATGTTTGACTGTGAGGGCTCACTATCAGGTTTAACGTAAGAAACCGATGCAGACAGAACGAAGCCCCCGGTCTCCGCCCTCCTCTGTCTCTCCGCCCTTGGACTCTTGAAAAAGATGCATCAAGTTATACATATCAGAGACGTTACCGGATGTGACTTTGCAAAATAAGAGTCAATAAATCATATGTGACCCAAAGATTCCAAACAGATACGAAACAAATGTGCAAACTATATGTAGAGTGTGTTATTGTGTCTTTTATATATATATTTTATTCAATATTACGAATACATTAGCTTCTTTAATTGACGCAGGAGACATTGACCTTTACTTTTAGCGGAAGTTGTTTGGGACGTACGTGAGGCTGAGGCTTTAAGACTCGGCCAGACTTCACTAGGGTGATCTCATTATAGGTCCCATATCACTGGGTTGCCTACATCTTATTGTCCTACAGAGACGTCAACAGGTATTCTTTTCATGTCAATTTAATCCTCCCCGTCGACCCGCAGTCCATTTTTTCTGCGTCGGTGTGTTTGAGCTCCTGTGGCAGAGAAGTGCGTTGTTCGGCCTGGCTGTGTTGGCGCGGATGGACGGTTAGCTCTTAGCCGTTTCTAGGCAGCTAATGGACGTTAAGAACCATCAGCAGGCTCTCATTGGGAGTACTTTCTATGCATAATATTTTTTTCACTCTGTACAAGGCATTAGTAGTGTCACATTGTTTATATTGAATAAACATTATGAATGTTACTGGTGAGGCGCTTTAAACCAGAACCTCCGGGATAAGTAACGGAGCAACGGCTGTTGCTAAGGTAGCTAGTTATCATTGTGCTGGTTTAAATTAAACGGCTCCATAATATTCTAACATTTTCTTAGCTTGAATGTATTGCTTTTTTAAACGAGGGTCACGGGTAACTAGCTTCTGACAGGGCTGTTGTTTGGGGTTTTCAGTGGGTTTTCGGGTGCAGCCATGTTTCTGGGTTAGCTTTGCTTGGGGATTTGAATGAATTCATTTGCAATTCAATGACGCTGAACCAAACAAGGAGAGTAAACCTCAAGTTTAGACATTTCTGGATCCTCCCTAATTTAAATATGACTGACTTAATTCTTCTCTACCTTTACCATCCTTTAGTGTTCTCTAGGTGATGCATTTTTATAACATTATCCGTGGCATTAGTAATGCTATTATCTGTCTTGCGTTTATGCGCTTTTACTGTTGTTTGTCTGAATTAATAATGAGATGTTGGTGGATGCACTATGATCCCCATGACTACCTGTCCTACAAGTTGTAGGTGTTTCCCTCGATGCCACACATCTGACTGAAATGAACAGGCCTCTGCAGAGCCTGATTGCATGCAGGAGATGCACTGAAGTATTTTATTGTTGCGATATCCAATGATAATGTTGCCGTTTTAGTTTTGTCTAATTGTAGTTTCTAATTCGGGAAATGCCTAAAAGGCGATTCCTCTTGATTCTTCAGTACCGTGACCGTTTTTTAGACTTCATTATATTATTTTACTCCATGAACAGAATCATTGAAACAAATTTGTGAAACTTATTAAATACAAGCATACTTCATTGCTCCCAAAGGGAAATTAACATTTATTCACAACTTTTTGTATATTTTACCATTAGAGGAGAATAGTCTAGTCCACGTTTGAAGAGTCTTGAGTATTGTAGTTTCTGTAATTTTCTTAAGCTCTGTGGTTCTCTGGGTACTCTGGTTGGAGAAAAGTAGCAGGAACCCCCTACACAAGGTTCTTAGTTTTGTGAGTTTAACACATTTGTGTTTGTGTGTTTCCTGTACGGTGGACTCTGAGCTGAAGGCATTTTCATCCCGTTTGCCCAGCTGGTTTGGATCAGTGTGAAACATGAGCCTCCAGCTATTCCTTTAATGTGCTTTGAAGCATCGCTGCACTTTATGGACTCTTATTGAAAGAAAGTGGAACTGTCTTTCAGCATTTTTTCCCTGAGTCTTCCCTACTTCATTTTCCTTTGACTATAACCTTTTTAAGATTAATTTGATCTAACTTCCAGTCTCTGACTTGATCAGTTTGTTTGTTTTTTTAGCCTTTCTCTGTTGAATTTTCTGTTTGTGTTTCATTAAATTTGAAATTAACCATGCTGTTCTTAAACTGGATTTTACATAAATGTCCAACACTTGAGTACATTTGGCATGAGGAGTAAGAAATATTTCATTCTAGAAAGAAAACCCAAATTACTCTGCATCAGCAGAAAGGCTGATAAAATTGTTTGTTTTCAGCTAAGTAACTCTAGGGGAAGCCCAGTCCCCGACCAGTAGCCATGGGGGACGATAGCGAGTGGATGAAGCTTCCCATCGACCAGAAATGTGAACATAAGGTGAGAAACTGGCCGACTGTCCTCGGTTAGAGGTGGTCGCATTTCAATCTGCTTGAATTTTTAATTTCTTAAACGTTGACTACTCCTTTTTTCTGTCGGTCTCAGACAAAAGATGCTTTTATTTTGTTATCGTGACACAAATTGTGCCTTTTATGTCTTCACAGCCAAACATGATATTAAAATCTTACCAGATTTTATGTTTATGAACATAGACTGATGCTCACATGGCTGTTGACGTGTTTTATGTCTGTTTTGGACTTGGTAGAGTTCTGGTTTATGGGAAAATAGCAGAACAATCCAGTGAAAGAAGATTTATGGGCACATGGCCATATTTTCTCATAAACTCTGGCAGAGTTTCTGAAATCATTTCAGCAATAATCAAGCATCTATTCTTTTGTAAACAATTTGTGTATTGAAACTTGGTCTGGTCATCTAAGTTTCAATTCACAGTTGATTAGCTGTATAAAAGAAACGATAGTTTTGGCTCTTGACTGCAGCTTGGAGACTCGAGGAAAGCAACTAAATCTGAAAATGAGCTGCAAACGGGTTTTAGGAACAGGTCAAACTATCGGGATCAGATCAGACGGACTTAAAACCCAACCTGAGCCTCATCCTGCAGACATCAGGGGTTCAGCTTCAGTCTCTCTGCATGATTAGCTTTCTTTAGATTTTCTTACTCTGTTTGTTTGGATCCTGATGAGGCTTTGCATTCAGGATTAGACTAATACAGTCTTAGTGCAACCTCTAATCCATGGCCACAGACATGACATCGGTCCCAATATTGTTTGGTAAATGGAAACAAACAGGAACAATCTGCCTCTGGTCAGCCATAATGTTATATTTTAAAGTTTAAAATATCTAAAGCAGGAGTTTATATTTTGCATTTTTTATCTATTTTCTCCACTTCTGAGTAGAAATGTCAACAAGCTTAACGTGTTTTTTTTCTTTTGTGACTTGAGGCTATAATGGAAATGACTTCAGCAAACTAATCAGCTGTTTCTGCTCTGAGATCATATCACTGCATAATATCCCAAATAGTTTTTTTTCCCTCTCCCACACCCTGTATGGTCGGGGTTATTTTGTTTTTAATCGGGTGAAGGAAAGTCCTGATATTTTTTCTGAGCCATAAAAACAAGCAGCCTTGTTATGCTGCTTTTAACCAGTCGGTTAAAATGCAGGAGGAGACGCTGTTCTCGGTTATCTAGTCATTAAAAATTAACAAAAGTGGTGATTTTTATTTATTTATTTTTTCTTGTTTGGTGTGAATCATCTTTTCCCTCCACCTCCTGACTCATTCAGGTGTGGAAAGCCAGACTGAACGGTTATGAAGAAGCTCTGAAGTTGTTCCAGAAGATAGAGGATGAGAAGAGTCCGGAGTGGGGGAAGTACCTGGGACTAATCAAGAAGTTTGTCACGGACTCGAATGCGGTGGCTCAGCTCAAAGGCCTGGAAGCTGCCTTGGCCTTTATTGAGAATGCTCATGTGGCTGGCAAGTAAGTTCTGTTCACAGCTGGAGACTTACCCACAAGTTTAACATTTGGTGTTATTTTTATAGCAGGTCTTTAAATGATGGAGGTGGTTCAGTGGAGACTCTGATCTGCTCTGTCTCTGTGCTGCAGGACGACGGGCGAGGTTGTGTCGGGCGTCGTCACTAAGGTGTTCAACCAGCCGAAGGCGCGAGCCAAAGAGCTGGGCATGGACATCTGCCTGATGTACATCGAGATAGAGAAGAGCGAGGTGGTTCAGGATGAGCTGCTCAAAGGACTGGACAACAAGAACCCCAAGATAGTGGTGGCGTGCATCGAGACGCTCAGGAAGGCTCTGAGGTCGGTGGCTGTTATTGATGTTTTAATTTGCATCAAATCAATTATTTTTCACAGTTTCCTGTAGAAAAAATTCTTTATAAAGTTTTGTTATAATCTGAGCTAGTGGGAGCCTGTAGATATTAAACAGAAGGGGCCCCAGAATGGAGCTTTGGGGAACCCTGCATGTGATTTGTTTTATAAAATGGATTTGCAACTTTGAGGGATTTTCACAACCACAGCAGCAAGGTGTGGACTTTTCATGAGCTTTTCACAAGAAAACAACTCCTGAGTTATTGGTACACTAAACTAATAGTTGGGTTTGGGATAAAATGGCAAGTAAGGGGCTTTACACAACATGTCAGGTTCTGCAATGACTTCCATCTGAAAAGCGCCAACTAAGAGAAGTTGTTTCACTAAGAGACTCTGATTGGTTCTTTGTTCCCTTCATTGCTTCCCCCAGTGAGTTTGGATCAAAAATAGTGACCCTGAAGCCAGTAGTGAAAGTTTTACCCAAACAGTTTGAGTCCAGAGAGAAGGCTGTGAGGGATGAGTCCAAGTTGCTTGCTGTGGAAATCTACAAGTGGATCAGAGACGCTCTGAGGCCGCCGCTGCAGAACATCAACTCTGTACAGGTGGGACCTGATCAGCTTCCTCAGAGTACAAACGGAGCGCTGCTGAATTCAGCTGGATGAGTGTTTGCTTGTTTTCTCTCTGCAGCTCAAAGAGCTGGAGGAGGAGTGGGTGAAGCTGCCCCCCTCCGCTCCCAAGCAGACCCGGTTCCTGCGCTCCCAGCAGGACCTAAAGGCAAAGTTCGAACAGCAACAAGCTCAAGGAGGAGAGCAGTCTGATGGTAAGCCTGGCTCATCTCTGACCTGTTTTATAGTTTGCTCTTTGTTACTGGGCAGTCTCAGACTCCTCTGCTCGTCTCCCAGGAGACGAAGAAGAAGAAACTGCAGCAGCTGTGGATCCGTACGATCTGCTGGAACCTGTGGAGATTCTGTCAAAGATGCCCAAAGACTTCTACGACAAAATTGTGAGTTTTTCAAGACACTTTTAAATTCAGTCAGGGTTGTCAAATCTGATTGAGACTTTCTGATCCAAAACACAACAAAAACAGTCCAAATCTCAGCCTCTGCTGAAACTCATGACTGTCTCATAATGGCACTTAATTAATTAATGATTACCAAGTTTATTTATGGTTTCCAGTGAGGTACAAAGTAAAGACGGCAGAATAATTGACATGGTTTACAGTGTTACCACTGGCTTACAGCCAAAACTGGGCCAGAACACACCCAGCTGCAAAGACAAAAACACACGAGAGATCAGTGACCAAAATGTTTTTATTAATGGACAGATTTTACCGACGACAGTTAATTATTGTTGATGTCCCATTTGATAGATTCTAAACACTTAAATTGACAGTAAATTGGTGTTTTATTAAAATGCTCAAGTTTTTTTCTTTTTTTGCTATAAATAGAACAACTATTTTGATTGAATTTTCTATAAATACTTTCTAAAAACCTGCTAAATGCTGTGAGAAGCCGTCCAAATGTCAACATCCAGTCCAACATGTTCAAAAGAAATCCAGTTGGGGTGAAACCTGCCCAATCTGGCAACACTGCTTTCAGTAGAAATGATGAGTAGCAGCTGCTGGAATAACCAAGCTTCACATATGACGGCATTAAATCACAGAAAGCAGCCTGGTTCCACTCATAAACATCTCTAACGATGCAGTTTGTATTGATAATCTGTGAACGCTGTGAGAATCATAATCCTGGGCTTTTATTTCTGCAGGAAGCTAAAAAGTGGCAGGAGAGGAAAGAAGCTCTTGAAGCTGTTGAAGCTCTGACCAAGAACCCCAAACTGGAGAACGGCGACTATGGAGACCTGGTCCGCGCACTGAAGAAGGTGCAAATATTAAATTAATAAAATGTTTCTCAAGTCATATAAAAACAGATCTGGAGAAACTGTTCAGAATGATATTTCTAAAGCATTTAGTTGGTTGAACCTGATATTTGAACCGTAAAGATCTGCTGGCTGTCTGAGAGAAGAGACGACTGTTCAGTCTTACTGATTTGACCGATGGGAGTCGAGTTGGAGCTGATGTGGTTTCTCTGCTGCAGGTTGTGGGGAAAGACGCCAACGTGATGCTGGTTTCCATGGCGGCCAAATGTCTGGCTGGACTGGCCTCTGGTCTCAGGAAGAAGTTTGGGACGTATGCAGGACAAGTAAGGGTTATTGGACGTTCTTCCCTCAAATCCTCCAGATTCTTTTACTTTAAATGAAGGAAGTATGTAAGAAGACGGAGACCATGAATCAAACGGCTTCCCTCACAGATTTATTTATTTTTTTTACAGGTTGTTCCAACTATCCTGGAGAAGTTCAAGGAGAAGAAGCTGCAGGTCGTCCAGTCCCTGCAGGAGGCCATTGATGCCATTTTCCTCACTGTGAGTACAATATGCACTTTTCTTTTGTTGTTGTAGACTACAATCTATAACATGTAAGGAAAAACTACAAAAAATGGATGCAGGCTGAATTTATTCATTTTATTTGTAATTATTCATTTTTTTCATAATGATTTCAGAGCCATTTAGGTTCCGTGGCAGCAGCATAGATTTTTTTATTTTTTTACCGAAATCTTTTAATGTGTGAGCAGTTACCATGGTAACCATACTTTAATGTAGCTTATGACTTTAAACGCAGCATAGGTGTTCCCACCATAAAATGTAATTGCACATTTTCTAAAGTACAAAATGGTGAATCAGTTTAAAAAAAAATTCTGCATCATGATTTTCTTCAGCTTTGCCCTCACTGAGCTTCTTCCTGTCTGGATGAAAGGCTCACTTCCTGTCTGGCAGACATGATGAAGTGTTTTCTCTCTGGATTGATTTAATTTTAATCATTTTTTACTAACTTACTTTGAATCCACTTCCTGTTTACAGACTGTTATCCACCGAGCGCTCTGCTGATGCTGCAGCTCCTAATGTGTGCTGAGACGACTGATAATTTTAATTTTTTCTTCCCCAGACGACTCTGCAGAACCTTTCGGAGGACATCCTGGGTGTGATGGACAATAAGAACCCATCCATTAAGCAGCAGGCGTCTCTGTTTCTGGCCCGATCTTTCCGACACTGCATGCAGGCCACGCTGCCGAAAAGCGTCCTCAAGCCGTTCTGTGCCGCCCTCATCAAGGTTTGTCCTCCGATGCGTCAACAAACTGAAGACATGCCTGTTGGTCATCGTAAAAACTGATCATTCCTGCTTTGTCAACCACAGCAAGTGAACGACTCGGCCCCTGAGGTCCGTGACGCGGCCTTCGAAGCTCTGGGGACGGCCATGAAGGTGGTTGGGGAAAAGGCCGTGAACCCTTTCCTTGCCGACTTGGACAAACTCAAACTCGATAAGGTGAAGAGTAGAACCGGAGAATCCTCCTCAGGCGCTGATGCCGTCAAACGCTGACTTTGATTCTGTTTCTCTAACAGATCAAGGAGTGTGCTGACAAAGTGGAGCTTCCTGGAGGTAAAAAAGGAGCAGCAGGAGGAGGATCAGCATCGGGTGACAAGAAGCCTGCAGCTAAAGCTCCTCCTGCAGCCGAAGCCCCTCCCAAATCCTCGGCGCCGCCGAAGAAGAGCCAAACCGCATCAGCCAACAAGGTACGCACAGAACGAAACCCCAACGGTTCCCGTAAATGATCCAGAGTTACTAAACGTTTTGTTTTCTGCAGCCGTCAGCTGGTCCGGCTAAAAAAGGGAAACCAGCATCAGCAGCTGGAGGAAAAGCCAAGAAGACCTCAGACAGCAAAGAAACCACAGAAGCCGAAATATCTGTAAGTTCACAAGCAGAATGACTTGAATCAGAGCGAGTTTTTACTGACTGGGTCTGGAGGCACAGAAACGACGACGTAAATCTGGAAGAGATAAAAACTGAGACGTTTATTTTTAGAGCACAGTTCAGCAACAAGGAATTATTTACTTTACACCACTAAACACCAAACGGTAACTGATTATGAAACAAGCAATAAACATTAAATTTAGTCTAATACCACCATCAATCATCAGATATATTGATCAATGATCCAGTTATTAGTTAAATGTAACTCTAACCAGGACGGTTTTCAGCCTGCATTTAAAGGAACTCGGTGTTTCGGCAGGTTTTCAGTTTTCTGGAAGTTGAATTTATTGCAATAAAATCACTTGCGCTAATGTTGTTGGATTAATTGCAGCTTTAGCTTTCAGTCTGAGAATATTATAGAATCCTTAAAGCTTCATTAAACTCTTTCTTAACGGAGATCAGATTAGATGGCATTAAGTTTTAGTTTCTGATGGTTTGCTGCTGTTTTCAGCCTGAAGCGTGCGAGGAGCTGGCAGCAGCAGTTCTTCCTGCTACGTGTCTGCAGCAGCTGGACTCGGGCAACTGGAAGGAGAGGCTGGCCAGTATGGAGGAGTTCCAGAGGGTAAAGTCTCCCAGTTTACTCTGAAACCTTTGACTTCCAGCAGCCACCGGTCTCTGTGCAGCTGAGCAGAAGATTTATCTCGGATTCCTGTCTGCAGGCTGTGGAGACCATGGACAAGGCGGCGATGCCGTGCCAGGCGTTGGTTCGGATGCTGGCAAAGAAACCGGGTTGGAAGGAGACGAACTTTCAGGTACGCTGCTGGAATCCAACAAGCCAAAGCTCAGTGGCATTCTGGTCCCTGAACGCTGAGCTTCTGGGAGACGACACGCCCAGATCCGTTTCTGTGCCGTTGACGACGGCTAAAGGGAACAACGAGATTTATCACGGCTGACTGAGAAACACAGGAGGGCGGTGCGCTTGTAAACTCATCTGTCTGAACAGTTGGTATGGTTTTGAAAGAAACTGGAATCCAGTTTAATGTTTCAGTAAATCACATAAGGAATATTAAAAAATACACTAGGTAGTTTGATACAATTACATAGTTTTACTTTTATTTTAACCTTCTTGGCTCAGCACAGATTTTCTTTTTTTTTAGTCACGAATGCTGTTGTAGGATTAACAACATTTTAGGGACATTAAGGCATGTTTACATGCAAAAACTATATTTAGATATTTAAAAATGTCCCACTTCACATTGGGAGATTTTAACTGATGCCTAAATGCCAGCGATGCGTTCAGCCATAGACTAACCTAAAGAAATAACATTTAAATAACGTTTTCATGCTCTGCAGACTGAGTCAGGTTGGTTCAACTGCAGAACAAAAAATGAGACGTCATACCTTCATACGTGTTTGACAGTAAATTAATTCCTTTTCTTTGTTGGAGTCACAAATCCATTGGTTTGTTGTTGATTTTATGAATATTCTGGGTTTGATGGCTGATATTTTGCAGAATAAGCTCAATGGTTGGTGGTGAATAAAAAGGTTGACTGTTTTTAACCGATTCGTTCTCTGAAGCCACTCCTGAGCTTTTTAAATAAACTTTAACCGTTACTGACTTGTAATATTATTCCTATGAGCGACGCCATCATGAAACCAAACAAGTTTAAACGTTTTAACTTGAGTTTTCCTGAAGGTTCAGACTAAATCCACCCCACACAGCGGAACCTCGGTGTCCGTTTTCAGTTTCTAACGCTCTGACGTCCTGCAGGTGATGCAGATGAAGCTGCACATCGTGGCTCTGGTGGCTCAGAGAGGACAGTTCTCAAAGACGTCTGCCTCCGTGGTTTTAGACGGTCTGGTGGATAAGATCGGAGACGTGAAGTGCGGCGGGAACGCCAAGTCGGCTCTGACGGCGATCGGAGAGACGTGCTCGTTGCCGTGGACAGCAGAGCAGGTGAACCCGGTAAACGTCAGCGAAGCCGACAGAACTGACTGTGCGGTTTTAACACAGTTTGTTCGCACCTCAGGTCGTCTCCTTGGCGTTTGCGCAGAAGAACCCCAAAAACCAGGCGGAGACGCTGAACTGGCTGGCGAACGCCATGAAGGAGTTTGGATTTGCTGGGTAGGTTTTCCTCGGCGGCAACAGCGTTCCTAGTTAAATCTTCCCACATGAAGTAAATGCATCTTTTTCATGCATTTTTAACATGCATAAAAGGCTTAAATTAAAAATCTGCAGAATGTGCCCATTTTAAAAATCCAGTTAATCACCAGAATAATCAATTAGTCAGCAACTGTTTAATTGCAGCCCTTATAAAATGGCTGTAAAATTAATATTAAAACTACATGCACATGCAAAATGTTAAAATAACTATTAAATTTAATCCCTGTAATGATATAAATCGTTTTAAAATCTGAAATGTTTTCATGATGGTGTAATGTTAACCCTTTCCTGCATGCTGTGCAGCATCAACGTGAAAGGCTTCATCAACAACGTGAAGACGGCTCTGGGAGCGACGAACCCCGCCGTGCGGACGGCAGCCATCGCCCTGCTGGGGGTCATGTACCTGTACATGGGACAGCCGCTGCGCATGTTCTTCGAAGACGAGAAGCCGGCTCTCCTCGCACAGATAGATGCCGAGTTCGAGAAGGTACCAGACCGTCAGACGTGACCCGAACCCCGATGAGAACCACGCAGGAGCCTTGGGTTTTCCCTCCGCTCCGTCGCAGTCCGAACGTTAACGACAGAAAACGGCTCTCTCCCTCACAGATGCAGGGTCAGTCGCCTCCGGCTCCCATCAGATCCACAAAGAAGACGGCGGCGGCGGAGGAAGAGGGAGACGAGGGGGGGGAGCAGGATGAGGATGGAGGAGCGGGGCAGGACATCATGGACCTGCTGCCCCGAACTGATATCAGGTCGGTTCTGCAACACCATAATGAAATGAGTGGGAAAGGAAAGTCTGGAAATCACTTTAAATTCTAGAATCTGATTTCTAGAACTGTTTTGTAACTTCAAACTAAAATAATAAAGTTAGACTAGAAATGTGCATAAAGAGCAGAAACCCAGCAACACGACAAAAAATACCCAGAAATGACCTCTTCTGAGGTTTTGCCACCTGTAAATTAATCACAGTGGGGACGATGGTTTGACACATGCAGCAGCTAAAAATGTATTTCTGCTCCTGTTCTGACCAGCATCATCACTGAACCATCGTCTCTAGAATAGAT